AGCAAATTTAACTATTTTTGAAAATTTCCTCCATTTGTTTATAATATTGTTTAAAAAAAGTAACTTTGGTCGCCATTTTGTGACAGCCATTTAAAAATTTAATCCCCAAAATAGTCCTATCTTGTAGCCCAATTATTTTTGACGCGATATATATATAACAGTAGAAGGTATGCTGAAGGGTTAAGCTATAAAAAAATTAAAAAAACCAATTTAAAATTCTTTAAAAATTGTGTTTTTTGTTATAAATTGTTAAATAAATTGTTTATTTAACATTTTTTAGTTTTTTTGAGCACGCCATTCGAAAGAGGGACTCTTGACACATAAGAAATGTGTACTCAAAAAATTTTCTCGTAGCATTTTATTATTGAAATATGTCCTTAAACATTGTGTACAAATTTTGTACATCCCGTCCTTAATGGGTTAAAACACTGTATTATTGAAAATACAATTAATATTTTTAAATTTGACATAAAGATTGTAAACATAATTTAATAAATAATCACGTTAAATAAATATTATTTTGGATTTTTAATCAAACAATTTATATAACCAAAAGAATTAAGTTTTCATTCTTAATTGATTTTTTCTATACTTGATGAAACTTTTATAAAGTCAAAAAAGGTATCTTAAAAATACTATTAAATTATATAGTGAAAAATTTAGTTTTTAATTTTTTTAAGAAGCTTAAAGAGTAATAAAATTAGATACGAAAAATTTGAAACGTTAAAAAGTTGTAATTTAATAAACATCCACTATTAGTAATTATTATAATATATTGTAATCACGCGTCCAATAATAAATTTAATACACTTGGCGGGTTTTTTGAAATCTACGAAATTCACAAAAAAAAACTAAAATTCTTGAATTCTGTAAATTTTTTTTTACCTTTTTTGGAAAAAAGTAGCATTTAGTAGCTTTTTGACAAAATAAGTAGCAAAAAGTATGCTTGACCAAAAAAAGTGTCAAAAAAGTGGAAAAGTGTGTCACTTCGAAGCCTGACTGTAGAATTGTCATTTTTAATCCAATCGAGGTTCTAACTCAAAATTTTAGTAATGAAATAGACCTAGCAATAAAAGATTAAAACCTAAAAATTTGTTACTGTTTCATGTGGAAGAAATAGTAGAAGTTAGTCAAGTGTCTAAAAATCATCAAAATTTTCATGAAATTTGCTCTTTAATCGACTGTAATTTTCTTAATTTTCGTTGAATTTTATTCTATGACCTATATGGATCGAAAGGTACCTACTAATCGAAAGAAAATATTTTGTTCGATTGGCAGTTGCATTATAAACCAATGATATTCATGCTGTAATACTCAGCATGATAAATTGGATTATTAGAAATAAATTTGTATCTTTTCATGTACATAGTGATAAAAATAAGTAAATAATGAGTCAAAACGCGTCAACCGTGAATAATGAATTTTTTGCATTATTTAAGAAAAAAATTAATAACTCATTACTGTTTTGCTAGAAATTAATGGCAATTTTTTTGGTAGTCATTGAATATCCACTCTTTTAAATAAACTTAATTGTGAAAAAAAATTTTGAAAAATTTTTAATTTTTAATAACAATTTTATAAACAATTAGTGTTTTTTATGCTTTCTAGAGCAAGGATTTTAATGAAATTTATACTTAAGATACATTGAACCTACATCTTTATATTCCCGAAAAAAAAATTTGTATTTCCAATTACAACCGGAGATTTTGAATTTTTTGTTGCGCCGTGCGCCGTCTGCTCGTGTATCGTCTGCCGCGGTAAACGAGCAGACGGCGCACGGCGCAACAAAAAATTCAAAATCTCCGGTTGTAATTGGAAATACAAATTTTTTTTTTCGGGAATATAAAGATGTAGGTTCAATGTATCTTAAGTATAAATTTCATTAAAATCCTTGCTCTAGAAAGCATAAAAAACACTAATTGTTTATAAAATTGTTATTAAAAATTAAAAATTTTTCAAAATTTTTTTTCACAATTAAGTTTATTTAAAAGAGTGGATATTCAATGACTACCAAAAAAATTGCCATTAATTTCTAGCAAAACAGTAATGAGTTTTTTTTTTATTATTGTTTATACTCCTGCCCTATTGGCCTTACGCACTTCGACAAGAGTCTCCGAGAAATACTTTTTGGATTTAGCATAACCATACTACTTAGAAATTTTTCTATATATTAACCTAATTTGCGTCTACAGCCGACTTTTATTAGGAGTACTCGCATTGCGCCTGGACCACCCGTCAATGGGTTTTCTCGCCAGAGAAGAGGGAAACTGTAGAAAACCTCTCTGAGTACAACCGGTTTATCGACAGTCGAGTTCTAATGGTGTGTACCGGACAATAATCGACGGTGCACATCGTTATACCTCGACGTCAAACCTCCCGCTCAGATTGTCTCACGTGCCGGAAAAATGCCAAGCCAAGTGGGCGCGAACCAAGGATACTTATACCCTTGGTCCTTAAACGACCGCCAATGCGTGGCATCTATCCGACTGAGCTAATCTGTCGGTAACAGTAATGAGTTATTAATTTTTTTCTTAAATAATGCAAAAAATTTTTATTATAAAAAAAGGTATAAATATTAAAAATTTTTAAAAATGGTTAAAAGTGTTTTTTTTGGTTTGCTGTGAACTACAGATTTTCATAAATGTTTTGACTTTTCCAAAACTATAAAAAAATGTATTCACGGTTGACGCGTTTTGACTCAATAACAATTATATGTTAAAATAATGTCTGAGATGTTAAATTCATAAAATATCTTTATGTTATACTATACTTATAGCTTAGTAGATTGAAAATTTAAATAAAAACTGCTAGTCTCTAGGTACTTTGTGTAAGGAATTCGTAAATAGCAACAATTATTTGTTTAAACAATTGTCAAATTGATAATTTTATATATAATTTTTATTCGATATATTATAATTAGGTCGATAAATTGCAAAATTACGAAAAAAAATGCTTCTCTCTACATGTACGGAGAGAGAAGATAATAATTAACAATAGTAAATTGTTTAAACAAATAGAGACTGCAATATATCATTCGTCAAATATATTATATAACAACATAAAAACTTACAGTAAAAATTATTAGTGGATTGAAGTTTTTTACAAAATTTCATTAATATTACTTTGGTATTATGTCAGTGATCTTCGTATATGGATTGAAAAGTCTTATAAATAAACAAAACACATTTTTTGTTAAATTATAATATTAATTAATTTTGATTGTGGAAACTTGAAGCCTAAATTGAGCCGAAATTTTTCGTACATAGAAAAAGTCTCAAAACGCCATTTTAAGCATTTTTGAAGGTGGTTCTGCCAGCTTGAAGTAAGGCTGACAAAACCATGCATTTTTTTAAAAAAATGAAGGGCCGGAAATTCGGCAATGGGGCATTAAATTAGCCTTAAATGAGCCCTTAATTATGCAATAGGTCCCATCGTGATCCGACAATATGGTTCTGTCAGGTTTACGTAGCTTTATAAACAATTATTTTAATTCATATTTTTACGAAATATTCCCAGTTATTCCAATGTTATTATAATTTTATCATAAACCCAAAATGATACCGCTTTTACTTATTTTGAAGTGCAACAAAAATGATACCCCTTCGACTCATTCTACACTCTTTGTGTAGCGACAGAGCGAACCTTTTATACCTCGCTGCAGAATTACAACACTTGAGTTCGTGGTCTGACATATGCTCGAAGTGCTTCTCGGGAAGGAACTCACTCGTTACCCTCATTTCCTCCAATACTGGAACTTCTCTTGTGAAGATCTGGTGAAATCTTTCTGTCTCTGAAACCGCTGTTTAGGTGAATGAATGGTCATGGAGACAGTTATTCATACTGCACCCTAGGTGCATAAAGGTGCAATTTTTTCACCTGAGGCTAAGAGACGAATATGAATTCCTATCTCAGGGTGCTACTTGGATAAGAAATCGCCGTCGAGTTTCTCATTCACAAATCTTTCGCGTCGGTCAAGAATATCGGCAGCGTTCCGATATTAGAATTTTGATTCTGCCTTAACGAAGAGCAGCTTCAACTTCTCAAAGTGCACGTCTTGGTCGCGTCAGTCACGAAAGACTATGAAACGAATTCTAGACTAGTTTCGTGAATTATATACTCTACAGAATGCGATAGATTCAGGCGGAAAGGAAAACGTATGAAAACTAATTATCAAATGTTTCATTACTCGCGTTATCAGTCGTTTTTATTGTTAATAATTATTTGATTAGTAAATGTTAATTTACTTGCGTTTCGAAATTATATTGTTATTATTATTTCCAAGAGTATCAATTGATGGAAGCATTATTATTATTTTTATTCTTAAGTTATTTTTATTACTTTAATTTAAAAGAAATTTTAAAATTAAATCAAAGTATTTCAACATTTAAATTGCCATATTGGATTCGCCATTTTGAATTTTTGAAAACTACCATCATATTCGTAATCAGCGACCCCAAATACCCTCGAGTAATCAGTTTCAAGTGAATCTATTAAGTTTAAAAAAAGTGTGGTCCTTAAAGATTTAAGATCACAATAAATTAACGAAAACTCCAAAAGAATTTGCATTTGATATTAAAATAGTCATTGAAACAGATACAATAGAAGAATTCAAAAAATTGAACTATCTGTCGGAAGCGGAACACAACAACTCAAAGTTTAACAAATGGAATTCCCAGTAAGAAATGAAAAGTCTGACCGACCTCTAGTCAACGTCTGAATGGATCTTTTTAGACCTCTTAGACGTCGATCAGACCTTTCATTTCTCACTGGGTTGGTGGTCCACATTTTGATTTTAATCAAGGAGAAATAAATTACATGTCTACCCATTTGAAAATTCTTCAAATTAACACATGTACGTGTTTATAAATGAAATCACGTACATTTTCATATACAAAATTTGTTCTTGTGTTTCAAAAATATGAAAATTCTTGTTCATTCTATTTATGAATCTTCTGTCGTGTGAATAAATATCATTTAGTTAAAAACCTTTGTCACTACAGGTAGGAAAGTAAGCATCAAAAAGCATGAGACTCCGCAAATATTAACGATACGCAAGCTGAAGAAAAAGAAAATAATTTCAATAGTAAAATATGGAGAACTTCTGAAATGTCAACACCAACATTGGAATTCGGAGAAGAAACTATCGCGGATGTTAAACTGGTTTTCAATAAAGTGCGAAACATAACAGTGACTGGTAAAGCATAAACACATTTACTCTCTATTCTTTTGAAATTTGTATTTATTTTCATATCTATTTAACCTTTATACTACCGGAAAGTCATTATAGTGGTTTTAAATAATGCAATGGGTGCTTTGAAATATTTTTATGACAATTTTTCTTTTCTATACGGCTCGTGGTTAGTTAGCAAAATTAGCGCTCTTGTGGGGAAACTGTTGCAACTCTGGTGAGAGATGAATTAAAACTAATGGCGGGCGTGATCCACGTTGATCTGCACAAAAGTGTTGTGTTTAGCAGACGAAAAAGGTAAAAATTCTTGAGTTTTTAGTTTCACGTTAGATATGTTCTTTTCGCTAACTAACCATGACGTCAAACAGAAAAGAAAAATCGGAAACTAGATCATGTATTAAACTTAAACATTTTGTTTTGTCAGTTTCCTGTTAGTTGTTATTTTGTTAATTTGTTACAATGGATTCCCTTGAAATTATTTATGGGTTTTCGTGGTCGCTGATTACGAATCTGAAGTTCATTTTTAAAAATTCAAAATGGCGTATCCAATATGGTGAATAAAATTTAAAATTGATCGGATTCTCTTGAAATTCATTACTTTGGTGTTTTTGAGGGTGGATTACTAATCCGGTATCAGTTTTTTAGAATTCAAAATCCGTTGAATGGAAAATTTCATGCGAATACGATAAATTTTCAATTTCGCACAAAATTTTAATCAACCTGCACATAACAGACGTAATCTATATTATAATAAATTAATAGCTGATGCTATTAATAAGCAAGCTATACACAATAAGTAAGAAATTATTCTAAAATACCTTAAAAAATTATGTTTTAGGACATACTATGAAAAACTTATTTTATAAAAGAGAACGTGGATAAAGCTATAACAGGAATGGTCATAAAGCATGGTTTTGCAGAAGGACACATCTTGAATATATAAAAGGTAAATGTAGAATAAACTTTATAACCAAATAATTAATTGCTCGAGAAACTTTCTTTTTTTAATTCAATTTTTATGAATTTGATCAAACATTGGATGTTTTTTATACTATGCTCTGGGAGTTAAAAATGTTCAAATTCTATTCTGGATTTCCTGAGATTTGTTAATGTATTTTAATCTTCAATAACTGTAATTAACATATTTTCTAACAGGTAATGTGTATTTTTGCACCATGGTTGTAAAAATTGTGAGAGTACGAACATTTTATTTTAAGTACCAAGAAACAAAGTGACAGTAAAAAGTCGTTAATGTCACGAAACAGGAAAAAGGTATAAGACAACGAAGAATCAAAAATTATTAACTGGGATATGCAAGAAATAATGAAGGAAACCCATTCAAGAAGATGGATCACATTTTGCTTGATATTAATTTTTGGCGGAACAGTTTTAACTCAGACAACACAACAATGCCCAACGCAAATAGAAATGGAACCATGCAAATGTGGTGTCAAAAAATCTGGTTTAGATATTATTTGCGAGCTCACCGATTTGGTTCATATCAGCAAAGCGATGGATATACTTAAAAAGCGACAAAATACTATTGTTGTGTATTTGAAACTAAGGCACAACAATTTACCTAAACTTCCGGGCTTCGTTTTTTTAGGACTAGACATTATTCATTTAACAATACACAACAGCAGTCTTGCAGTTATTGAAGAAACATCACTCACATCAATCGGTAAGTTTTAATTTGCCATATTCATAATATAAATATTATATTCAGTTTTTGACAGTATTTATTAATTACAAATCAAATTAAATAGAATAAAAAAATTTCAGTAAATAACAGTACAATGGTTTTTAAATATGTATCTTGTTTATTTCTAGGTAAAGCGTTAACTCAATTAGATATATCTCAGAATTCCTTAAATGCAGTTCCATCATCAGCATTGAAAACTCTTCATCATCTTCTTATATTAAACATTAATCATAATAAAATTAACGCAATACATGAAAGAGCATTCGAAGGTTTAGATACTCTGGAAATACTTACTTTATATGAAAATAAAATTTCTCAAATTGATCCTAATGCTTTTAAAGGAATCGACAAGTATGTATACAAATTAATAATTGACTTACAGTGGGCTATTTAATTAAAATAAAGAATAATATAATATATATATATATAGATATACTTCCCCGGATCTGTTAGCTATAAACAAATGTTTCACAACTTTTAAAAAAACTAAAGACATCTGTTTATCACATTGATATTTTTGACAAATATTTTCCCAATTAAAAAATAGATAAATATATAACATATTCGTTTGCTCAATCTAAGAAAAATAATAAATATATACAATTTCTTTATTAATAGACGAAAGTTAAAACGATTGAACTTGGGTGGAAATGAATTACTGAGAATTCCAACTGAAGCTCTTTCACTGCTTGAAAACTTAAAGAAACTTGAACTTCAAGAAAATAGTATAACTTCTATTAAGGATGGAGACTTTGAAGGTATTTAATTATTTACATTTTATTAATATAATTCACGATTCCAATTATTTTTTTAAACAAAAGCTTGTCTTTTGGACAACAAAAATAGTTTCAAAACTGAAAACATATTTACTAGTAAAATATAACAATTTTACAGGTTTAAGAAGTTTAGATTCTCTTATATTGGCACATAACCATCTACGTGAAATACCAGGAAAGGCATTCAGCAGTTTAAAGCAGTTAAATTCTTTAGAACTAGAAGGAAATCAAATAGGACAAATTGATCCAGATGCATTCATGGGAGTGGAAGGTAAGAAAAAAAATTGATTTTTTCAAAACCTGATTCTGTCGTTAATATTAACTACTATCTTAAACTTTGACAAACAGTAATGGAGTATTCACATTATATATTAAAAGACAATTTTTCTACAAATTTCCCCCTTTTTAAATCGCTGTTATTGTTTGTTTACCTTAAGTTAGAACAAGTATTCCTTTAAGCGTATTGATCTCACTTCAGGTTTACTTGATTAAAAAGAAAATTAATTTTTAATGAAGTGATAGAAGATTTGGGAAAAGTAAAAATAGTCATTTCTTGTTATACAATTATAAAAAGTTTTTAACTTGATGAAGGTTTAATTAGAGACTGCTCGCTAGTGCTCATTCTCAAGTAACAATCAACAATTCTAAAGTGATTGGATAGTCTCTCTGCAGTGAGTTCCAAGAATACAGGGACACTTTGTTCATATCATGTCGAAGAGAAGAATCTGTAAAGAGATACGATGTGAATACATGGTATTTCGCGATCGAAGATTTTTTTCTTGATAATTTTAAATCATTAAAGTTTTACCTATCTGCCAAATATGCAAAATCCAATCTACTTAGTCCTTTTATTGTTGTCTCTGAAAGTTTCCTTATTCAAACTAAATATTCTAAGTTTTTCCTTCAAATCTTGTACTAAAGATTAAAGATTTTTAAATAATTCAAACAGTCTTCAAGCTGCGAAGATTTACAGACAGTTTGAGTACTTGCATTTTTTTTAATTCTCCATGTACATCCTTTCTAGGTTTTTACATATCTAAAAGCCCACTATATTCTTCCAAATTTCCTTAGCTCAAAAATTCGTCCATTTTTTAACTGACTTTCACTTAAATCTCGTTTTAAAACAGTTAACCATTTTTCTTGCCATTGAAGATGCAAATTATACAATTCACATGATTTCACTTTTCTAACACATGGCAAACGAAAAAACGACACTTTGTAAATTTTAAATCGACTGTAGCAATCGAGTACGATATAAGAATTAGTCATTTTTGAATATTTATTCTTAAATAATTAAATTTTCACTTTATGACTTTATGACACATACAATGGCAAGGTATATTTACATGCCTATTACGTGGTTGCACCTGGAGCACAATAGTCAAGGAAAATTATGTAAATGAATGAAGAGATGAATTTAAAATTCTATTTAGACAAAAATCTTTTAAAAATAAAGTACTTTTTTCAAGTAATTGTATTAAAAGTATAGGATAACAAATTACTAGAGATGTGCAAAAAGCTCGAAATGTCGAGCCGAGCCAAGCCCAAGCCGGCTCGATGTATCGAGTACTCGAGTGACTTCGAGTACTCGAAAAATTCGAGTACTCGGGTAAATTCGAGCACTCGAGTGAAATAAAGTACTCGAAAAATTCCAGTACTCGAATGGATTCGAGCTTTCGACTTACTACAAAAATTATTAATAAGTAGAAAATTTCGAATTTATTCTAATTACTGAATCAATAAAGTAAAGAAATCTTTAATTTCAAAGTGTATTTCTATTTGCTAAATATAATATATGCAAAAATTATATGAATTTTCTCTAAAACTCGAATTTACTCAAGAGCTCGAAAAAATTCGAGTACTCGAATTCCCTCGAGTGCTCGAAAAATTCAAGTACTCGAATTAACTCGAGTACTTGAAACGTTCGAGTACTCGAATTATTCAAGCTTTTTACACAGCTCGGCTCGACTAGATCTCGGCTCGTGCTCGAACTGATTAGGCTCGGCTCGGCTCGAAAAATAAAAAGCTCGAAAAAGCTCGATCGAGCTTCGAGCTTTTTGCACAACTCTACAAATTACCAAAGTAACAAAGCAATACCATAAATTTTACTTTTTGGGCGGTACACTTCGGTAATTTAGCCTCAAATGCTTTACAAAGTTCCTTCTGCGAAATTAATGTAAGAGATTATTTGACCGAGAAATAAAAAGAAATCAATGCCCTTTACTCTTAAAGATCTAATATTAAAGAAAAATTATTAACATATATTTTGTAATTACAATTTGTTGCAGAAAATTTGCAGTATCTACGTTTAGGTGACAATAATCTTCATTCTGTTCCGAGCGATGCACTACGTCGTCTTCATAGACTACGGAACCTTGATTTAAAAGCAAACAATATTACTGTGCTTTACGAAGATACATTTACTGGATATGGTGATTCTATTACGTTTCTCAATCTTCAGAAAAATCTGTAAGTTAAAACTTTTATTTTTATCAATTTAACAAAAAAGCTTCCCATTATTCATTACAAAATTTAATTATAAATATGTATCCATAAAACTAGCAGTAAAACAATTTAGACTCCATTTTATTTTTAGTCTTCTTCTAATCTTGATTTTTGACAAAACTTTGAAAAAGGGTGTGTACTAAACAGACTCCATGTTCTTTGCATAAAATTCTGGCTTCATTTAATTTTATTTTCATAACATCTTTTATAATTTTATCATATTTTTCTTACACAAAATAACGGACATCCGACAAAGTGGTCCTTTTTCTAAAATTGCGTATTTTAATTAACAAACCTGATTTTTTGCGAAGTTAAAGTTAGATGTTATTTTATTAAGTTATTTGAAGCAAAAAAAGAGAAAATAGACATAAAAAAAATTTTAAGGGACTTTATTATGAATAATCTTAGGAAATATCGAAATTTCCATTTCTAAAAAACGAAATTAAAAATTGTAATGTGAATTTCTGCGGTTCTTCTGGGAAGTTATTCAGATGAAAGTTGTTTTAAGTCTAGTACGCCCTTAAGATGAAAAATTAAAAGGTTTTAAATTTTCCCGCCCCCTCCATTTTGAAACAGAAACAACTTTCGTAACAGACCGACAAAGTGGTCCCTTTTCATTTTTGTTGTCTAACAACAAAATAAAATACTTAAAGTATTAATAAATTAATGAAAAATGCATAATTCGGTGTGTGAGACCTTGTTGAATAAGAAAAAAGAATAAAGAAAGATTGGATATTTTTTTCAAAATTAGTAAATTGTGATTATTACGGAATCTAGAACTGACAAAGTGGTCCCTTTTTATCTGGACGTCCACATATTTTATAAACTACTGCTTAATTATTGTATAATTAATATTCTATTTTAACTTTGTTTTAGTATAAAAGTTCTACCTACAATGGTTTTTGACAGCTTAAATTCGTTAGAGATTCTCAGCCTACAGAACAACAAATTAACCCGCATACCGGAAGATATTATGGAAAATGTTGTGGACACACTTAGAGCAGTCGATATAACAGGTGTGTATAAATAATTTTAATATTCCAAAATTTGTGATACGAGTGTTTGAAATTTACCTAAATTAGATTACTTTATTACTCCTCGAACTGTTCTTAATGAAACATAATATATTTTATCCAATTTATAAAAATGAGTATCACTAGCTCTCCATAATAATGGAATTCCTCAATTTAAGATAGAATTATGAAATCCCTTAGAAACCGTTAAAAGGTTTAAAGGAAAGGGGCCCCAAAGAACTTTGGATATAGTTCTGATAATATTATTTGCTCTCGATGTCTTTTTTGTTATTTCTATTATATGCCGATGCCATATAAGTTTTTGATCTGAAATAATACCCAAATATTTAAACAAGATTGCATGGAAGAGTTTGTTCTTTTAAGTTACTGGAATGTTCTGTATATGAAAATTTTTTAGATTTTCTAAATATAATGTTTACTAACATTTTTAAGTTTTCGTTAAGAAAATGTTAGTCTATAGTCGTGTAGCCAAGTTGAAATTTGGTTGAATTTGCCAAGGATTTTCCTTCTCGTCCCGTAGATGTCGGAAACCAGAAAGGTGGCAGCATTTATTGCAGACCTTTCTCTCCTAAAACCGAATTGAAAGTCTGGAAGACATTTTTTGTCTTTGTACAAGATATTCCAATCTTCTCCGAACTAATCTTTCCATTATCTTTGCTAAACATGAAGTCAGAGAAATTTGTCAATTGCCTCCACTAGGTTTGGGCAAAAATTTCACAAAAGTATTTATTTTTGAAAATATATTATATGTAAAGGAATCCAAACCTGGAGCAGACTTTATGTTTAAAGCATCTATAACTCTCCACCCATTGGTTGAATAGGTCATGAAATACTAAAAAGTATTTTAAACCTGTTGAGCTTCTGGGGAATGGACCCATGACATCAGTGGCCACCACACTCCATGGTTAGTGAACATCACGTTGTGTCATCAAGCCACGCTGTTAAGCTTGTTCGCTTTTGTTAAATTGGCAGACAAGGCATTTACAAAAGAATTCTTCAATATCTTTAAACATGCCACTACAATAGTAGTGGATTGACGCACGATCAAAAGTCTTTTTTGCCACCTAAGTGACACACGTTTTGGTTATTTATCTATTCTTTTAGAAATGTTAGGACGGAAACAGATTTAGCAGCCCCAGAAACATAAAGTAAGCAAAATGAGAACCACAGATTAGAGAAAATATTTGTATGGTTGTGATGATCAAATTCACCAAAGAGGGTAACCCTAACTTGTGAGATTACATTTTAAACGTTAAAATTAAATTTTTAAAATGGTATTTTTGATCATTTTACTTTATTTGTTTTGAGATAGTTAATAAGTAATTACCCAAAAATAATTATGATTTTACGCTTTTAAAAATAAATAAAAATTTTTTAATTATAGATAATCCTTTGTATTGTGATTGTGAACTAAGTTGGTATGCTGCATGGTTAAAAGGGCCACAGGAGATGATTGAAGAAATAATGTCTAAAAGAAAACCTATTTGTACAATGGTCGCAGAACATCGAGAGTACCCTGTTCAAAATATACCACTGAAGGAGATGGGATGCGTAGGAAAAAATGTAGATCGCGCAACGTCTTCAGCAACAGATGTTAACAAAAATAAACTGGTAACATTCTTAATGTTTGTTGTTCTTGTTATTTTACAGTTTTAATATAAGAGATTTAATAATGAATTAAATGAAAAATTAATGTCGTTACGTAAATAATTAAAAGACTGTTTTGAATAATGTGAAATTTAATATTTTTTTGGACTGTTAAATTATATTAAATTACTGTTATGTTGAAATAAGTCGCAGAAATTGTTTTTATGAAATTGAAATACAATTGTCCAACCAAAGCACTTCTGATCTGCGTTTTCTACGTTTTTATAGATAATTATAAACTTTTGACAGATATTTTCGTAAAGAGTTAAAAGTATGATATAAAAATGCCCTTGTTGAAGGATTGTAGGCAAATTTTTGCCATTCGCTTCCATGAGTAACTTCCGCAATTTTTTTAAAAATCCTTCTATATGGGTGGCGACTTTTCAACCTTTTTGTCCCCTTGGTATGTATATGATTCACATACAAAAATCCCTATGATTAATTATGATTCTCTGATTAAATTATAAGTAGAATTCCAAATTCTAATTACAATTGAAATGAGAAATATTGGTTGTAAATTCATAATAATGTTAATTAATATTTTGAAATTTATGTCTAGACAATGCCATAATCTATGTATCCAACAATACGAAAAGGTTAAAAATTCGCCCTTTTAACTCTTGTAACTTTTAATTTTTATTTTAATAACCGGACATGAAGTTAGTTTTTTTTAACTAAATTCAAGATTACTTCCATAAGTTAGAGATAAATTATAAGAAAAAAGAGTTATTAAGGTTACGAAATTTTGATGGCCCAATGTTCACTTCCTTTAAAGGGTCACATGTGAAGCAAAGGTAGGACAGGTTGTACTTTGAGTAAAATTTATTGTAATGATTTAATACAATTAACATTTTGATTGCTATGTTTTAATTAAAAAATCGTCCTCATGCTCAATTCCTAATGCGTCTAACAATGTCTTTTGATACATCATTTATGTATACTCTTGGAAATCTGTCCTTATTTACGTAACATATAAAAATAATCATATAGACTTAGGTTTGAATACACACACAATTACTGAGATAATTTTTGTTAAGTGTCTATTTAGTACAATGTATAACAGGAAAGAAAGTACGCAAAAGTGTTAAAAATTTAACGAAAAACACATATTGTTATAAACGTTATAATAGTGAAAGAATAATATGCAAATCCAAAAGTTATTAAATATTTTATTCTTGTTGTATACATTTGTGATATGTAATTTGAAGATTTGTATAAAACTACTCTTGAACTTTTACGATTTATTTTTTATTAAAATTTTGCAATTGTAAATCTTCGAATAACATAACATGACAACAGGTCGAGAGAAAAATAGGTGATGAAATTGTTTTTTAACTAATTTAGAATAATAAATTTATAAAAACATTTAGTTATAATCTAATAAAAGTGATAAATATTGTAATGCGTTATAAATATCAGAGTTCTGTTGGTCATCGATTTTTTGGAATGTTAAGGTGTGTGTGTTCACAAGTGTTTTGTTTCATATTTTATACAATTGTTTATGTTTGGAAATTCTATTCAATTCAAGACTGCAATTTGGTTTGAATTGTTATTGACAAATTCAAAAATCCGGTTAAAACGCTGAAGATCTTCCAGAGTGAATCTGATAATGTGAGACTAATTACTTCATAAAAAAGTTTCAATTTTGTTCTTTAGACGATACTCTATAATCTATTTGAGTTAGGTTAATTTTTGGTTTAATTATAATGAAAATCACAGTCCAATGACTTACATGAACAGTTCTATTCGCAATATCAAGTACATGCATATATTAAATTTATTATTAAAACAAAAATTTAACTGTACAAAAATTTAAACAATATATGTTTGCAGTAACAATTTCTTGTACATTTCTCTTACATGATTAGATACGCTTATATGTATATGATTTTATGCAAGAAAATGTACAGATTTTTTCACGGGTATTTTAAACTGGGTTTGATTATTAACATTCCTGTTAATGCCCCAGTAGCGAAGTATTTTTATAACATAAAGTTCAAACTTAGAATCCGGAATAAATTAAACCTTATAAAAGTAATAACCCATATAAGGACTTTCCTGTTAGTTACAAATTAATTTTGTATTTCCTTCTTATACATATCAATAAATTGCCTTGAGAAAGAATGTTTGAAGTCTTTCGTATAAGACAATTCTACACTTTTGAAATTGAACATATTTAGATTAATCTAATGTTGTAATTTTTTTCTCTTACAAAGATTTGAAAGTTTATGCTAATTTTAACTTTTTGAAGAGTAGGATTATTTTATCATTTTAAAATTCTTTACACTTTAAAATGTATTATTAACATATGCTTTAAAACAAGAAGAAACTTTAAGTACTCAATTTAGTGTGAAGATTTATATGAAGTTTAAGAAGTAATGTTCACTAAAACACTGTGCAGAATTTCTTATACGATGTCTCAAAAACTTTCTAATTATACATATCACGCAAAAAAATGGATAGTCGTTATAATAATGTTTCATTACAATCACTAAATATTTGTAAAATTAACTTGTCGATTTCTTGTAGGAAATTAATAATTCAATTTGTTTAAACAAAATATTATATAGATTTATCATATTTCAATAAATATAATTTACAATGTAGAACACTACATTGAAATATATATTTTTTAAGTAAATACAATACTTGAAAAATGTTTAGTGTTAATAATATTTAGAAATAATACACATACATTTTTGCAAATTCTTTGTTTTTCATATTATACTAATGTATATTATAATAAGAGTATTTATTAATGGTGAATACCATATAAATTGTGTAATCACTAATGTTGTATCTAAATTTTTTTACTTTAAAATATTTTAAAATATTCTAAGAATGTCAACAATCTTTGTATAAACATTACATTGAAGATTGGTAATGGTATAAAAAAGAGCATTATTAAGCAATTGTGACTTAATATTCTTTATACGAAAATTATATTGAAAGTCGATAATGGTAAGAAAGAAAATCATTATTAAGCAGTTGTGATTTTAGCCATATTATAAATACTCTCGGGTTTTAATATTCGCGGTTGCAGTTAGAAAAGCAGAAACACTCAACTGCTTTTTTTAAGAATGTAATTCTACATTATAAAAAATACGCTAAATGTAGTCTTCAGCTGGCCCTATACATTTTGAGGACACACACGGCATATTTTATTTACATTTTTCAAATTTTGATATATAAAATTCTTAATATTTTGATTTAATTATTTAATCATAAATTCTTAATTGAAAAAATAATAAGATATATGATGCATATAAAGCAGAACAGTTAAAAATTTATTACATTAAACTAAACATTTATACTGCCAAACAATTTCGAATATTAAAAGAGCATCGTGAGTTTAAAAAAGTTAAAAAAAAAAAATAAATTATCAGTGTACTTAGAATTTTGTATAAAGACATTAATAATAATAGAAACAATGAAAGAATTTGGAAAAATTATTGTGGCTTCTAACTAAAACTATTTCAGTCATATCTTTATCACAGAAAATTCTGTCGAAAATTTTGTCATGTTAAGATGTATAAAAGAGTTCTATAAAACATCACTATTAAATTCTATTATTATAGTCATGCTTTTGTTTCCGACAAAAGTACGTGGCAACTTCATAATTACTATACTGAAGGTAATCGCATTGTTTAAATATATATGATCTTATATAATAAGACAGAAAACCCCAAGTCTCTCAATAACCTTTGAGACTTTTAAACAAATTCCACATAAAATATTGCACAAATGTAAATTAGTTTATTTCTAAAATGCTTTCTTCATAAATACTTAATATGTATGTAACAAGCGTGTGCACTTTATTAAATTTATGTATGTTAGTATTAAAGTAAAGAAAAATATCTCTGTTTCCTTACACTTATCTACATAATCCTTTAATCTGTATACAAATTTAGTTTTAATTTAACAATGAAATTTTATGTTTTAAAAGTTTCTGGTTGAGTTAAAATTAAAATACTGTTCAATGCAATTAGATTTATTTTAATTAACAAGTGTAATAAAGCTACGTTAAAAGTTAAAACACATATTGTTGATAATTATTTAATTACCTCCAAATATATACATGTAGGGGAGATTGAGAAATTGTGGGCCACCTCCATTAATTAATAATATTTGTAAGTTTGATTATCTAATTTTTTTATGTTCTTTTGTTCGTCCAAAGTATATTTTTCATGAACATTTTATGACTTTACAACGCTTTACAATTACCTATAAATCGTAAACAACAATCACCTGAAAAATTGTATTCAAATATTTATTTGCAGCGTTCATGTTTTTATTGTTTTTACAAGGATTTTCAAGAATTAATTATGAAAAATATTTGTTTAATTATTGAGTGGCATTGGTACTTTGACTCCAAACAGCCCTGTGGCCACTAAGACAAGGGATGACTTTAGGAAAACTTTAAGAGTCAGTTCCACAACTGCATTAACCAGAGTTTATGTCGGTGAACTCGGTCTAATTACATTACAATTATGTGACTGTCCACGAGAAAACGCGGCTTAGCTCTAAAAATCAATTGTATGTTTTTATGCTAATCGATAGATATTATATCATTTTTTCAAATTCAAAAATCAGAAGTTGTAAATGTAAATTACTTTCGACAATATAACTTTTTAAAGACGTTATATTGTATGCATTCCTTCGTTCTGCTTCTGCCCAGTAAGAAACGAAAAATTGAAAAGTATTAAAAAGATTCTATTCTTTTGAATGCCATTTCTGTCCAATACTTTTCTATCCAGTGAGAGCAATATGAAAAGTAACGATATCAATCCTCTTGAATACCCAGTAAGAAAGCAAAGATTAAGAAGCATTAAAAAAATTCTATCCTTTTGAATACCATTTCTGCCCTATGCTTCTGAATTCCGCGACAGTAGTATAATAATATAATACTAATATTATTGACATATAGAATGTTCAATTACTTTCAAATAACTGCACTCATGAATTTATTTGCTATTTTAAAAAGGAATAATTATTAAATTATCAGTTAAGAGGGTTAAAAGTGTTTAAAGGTCTCTGAAATTTTTAGGTTATGATTTATTGTCTAACAGAATAACGGCCCTGACTCGTTTAAATGACGTTAAATTGGTAAACAATCAATTTTTCAGCAAGTTTTTCTTTGAACACAAACACTTTTTACAAAATCTGCCACTGTATGTATCTTATAAATTACAAAAATCCAGAAGATTGCTTGAATGCATGCAGAAACGCGGTTCCAATGAAAAATTGAAAAGTGATATAATGACAGGCTGTAATAATTTCGGATGGGATTGGAAAGCATTCAGAAAAAAATTTTGTCTTTGTTAAAAATTACAAAAAGAATTGAATAGCATTCATTTTTAGACGAAACGTGGTCCTATCATGGTATAGAAAAGTATTGGACAGAAATGGCATTCAAAAGTATTGGATAATTTCTACTACACCATACAGAGTTTGAATTATTTCAATCCTTTTCAATTTTTCGTTTCTTACTGGGTGCTTCTTGCTCGCCCTGTGAAATTCACGTTTAGGTGCTAAGCCGCGTTTTCTCGTGGACAGTCACATATATATATATATATATATATATATATATATATATATATATATATATATATATATATATATATATATATATATATATATATATATATATATATATATATATATATATATATATATATATATATATATATATATATATATATATATATATATATATATATCTCCCTATATTACAAAAATATATCGCTGTCGCCGCTGTTTCAAGATTCCATCCCCCCTCCTCAAAGGTCAAAGGGCAAACATAACCTCAAAAACCCCTTCCCACTCAAGGTCAAAGGGCAAACATAACCTCAAAACCCCCTTCCCACTCAAGGTCAAAGGGCAAACATAACCTCAAAACCCCCTTCCCACTCACAGGTCAAACATAACCTCAAAACTCCCTCCCTACTCATAGGTCACATGGCAAATATGACCACAAACCCCCCTCCGCACTCATAGGTAACATGACAAATGTAACCTCGAAACCCCCTCAAAACATTACCTTAAACCCTCATTTATATTATTACATTACACCCCTTCTTCCCACTCACAGGTCACAGGACAATCATAACCTCAAAGGCCTCTTGCAAGTGAAAGCTATAGTATATTCAAAACAACCTTTTTTTACTTTTATATTAATTATTAATAAATTATAATTATTATATTTAACAATAATAATAAAATTCATAATTTCAACATAGAATTTTATGTTATTTATGTTATTTATTTATGAATTTTATGTTTTTATTTTTTTTTAAACCAATAATTATAATTTTTAAATATTATAAAATACTATTGACGTAAATTATTAAAGAAAGAAGAAGAAAAAACAAGGGGGTTGGCGCGCGAAGCGCGCAGGGGGCGGAGCCCCCCTAGTATATATATATATATATATATATATATATATATATATATATACTAGGGGGGCTTCGCCCCCCTGCGCGCTTCGCGCGCAAACCCCCTATCTCTATTTTTATATTTATTTTAATTTTTATAAATTTAAAGTAATTTTTTCTTAATATGAATGCATCTTAATAAATTACATACAATACATATATGACAACATACACATAGATTTTGACGCAATGTAACAATCGTTATGGACCTTTTTTATCTATATGTCAAAAATTAAATTAAACTTTGACATATATTTTGACCCATTTTAACCTATAGGTTAAAAAGACGTTAAATTTTAAATAGATTTTGACGTATCATAGATACGTTTGTTGTCCTTTATTGTCCCTTTTTAAGTTGTAGTTAAATAAAAGTCAAATTACACATAGATTATGACGTAACTAAATAACAGAGTAAAAATAAAACGTCAAAATTAGGTCAAAATGATAGGTGTAAGAGCAAACACAATTTTAAAATTACTTTACATTGTTAGGTCAGATGGCAAACTTCACCTCATCATTAAGTCTGCGCGCGGAAATTGTTTGACAAATTTTGACCTCTAGGTCAAAACTGCCCTCAAACATGACCTAAATTTTAGCGGGAATTCTTTGTCAAATTTTGATGCGTAGGTCAAAACTGCCCTCAAAATTGACCTAAATTTTGAGGGTAGCGGAAATTGTTTCTCAAATGTTGACGTCTAGGTCAAAACTGCCCTTAAAATTGACCTAAATTTTGAGGGTAGCGGATATTTTTTGTCAAATTTTGCCGTCTAGGTCAAAACAGCCCTTAAAATTGACCTAAATTTTGAGGGTAGCGGGAATTCTTTGTCAAATTTTGATGCGTATGTCACAACTGCCCTCAAAATTGACCTAAATTTTGAGGGTAGCGGGAATTCTTTGTCAAATTTTGATGCGTATGTCACAACTGCCCTCAAAATTGACCTAAATTTTGAGTGTAGCGGGTATTTTTTGTCAAATTTTGACGTCTAGGTCAAAACTGCCCTCAAAATTGACCTAAATTTTGAGGGTATCGGGAATTCTTTGTCAAATTTTGATGCGTAGGTCACAACTGTCCTCAAAATTGACCTAAATTTGGAGGGTAGCTGTTATTTTTTGTCAAATTTTGACGTCTAGGTCACAACTGTCCTCAAAATTGACCTAAATTTTGAGGGTATCGGGAATTCTTTGTCAAATTTTGATGCGTAGGTCACAACTGTCCTCAAAATTGACCTAAATTTGGAGGGTAGCTGTTATTTTTTGTCAAATTTTGACGTCTAGGTCACAACTGTCCTCAAAATTGACCTAAATTTTGAGGGTAGCGGGAATTCTTTGTCAAATTTTGATGTGTAGGTCAAAGCTGCCCTCAAAATTGACCTAAATTTGGAGGGGAAAACTGCAGGTCAACTCTTGACCTGTAGGTCAAAAAATCTTGAAACAGCGGCGGCGTCGGCGGCGATATCGTTTTGTAATATAGAGAGATATATATATAATTTTTTTATGAGTCGGAAGTGAAAAATCTGTAAATTCAGATATCTGGATAAAGAATCCCAGGTTATGTAGGGGAGTCAAAACGCGTCAACCGTGAATAGAATTTTTTTATAGTTTTGGAAAAGTCAAAATTAATAACTCATTACTGTTTTGCTAAAAATTAATGGCAATTTTTTTGGTAGTCATTGAATATCCACTCTTTTAAATAAACTTAATTGTGAAAAAAAATATTGAAAAATTTTTAATTTTTAATAACAATTTTATAAACAATTAGTGTTTTTTTATGCTTTCTAGAGCAAGGATTTTAATAAAATTTATATGTAAGATACATTGAACCTACATCTTTATATTCCCGAAAAAAAATTTGTATTTCCAATTACAACCGGAGATTTCTAGAAATTGAATTCTTTTCTATTCTACGCTTCTTACCGGGTTACCCCAAGGGCACGCGAACGTTGTTCGTTTGGATGTGGAGATCGATGTATCTCTCCAAGACAGCAGGAAGTTTCCGCGGAGGGAATGCATCCCTGGTATTATATATATAACACTGTGTTACAAAAAAATATAACTTTAAATACTTCTTATCGGGCCTAGTGGAAGTTGTAGGGCTTGAAAAACTGAAATGAATGGTATATATTAAATTGACTAAACACCCTCAAAATTTTATTTTAGAGCTAAAAAACCGTTTCTAGGAGTACTTTCAATTTTATAGTTACATATAAAGTTTTAGAGATTACTAATCTGTTTTTTATTTTTAACAAAATAGCATAGATATTTAGAGTAAATTCTTTGTAAACTAAACAAAATTATGATTTTAGTCTTATTATATTTGCAGATGCTCAATGGGAAATTCACAATGGTCACAATTGGCTTTTTAATTGACCAATATTGGCTGCCAACAGTTTTTTCTTGGTTAAACATTGATAACCAATATTGGACTATTATTGCTAAAATCTTGGGATGTCCACGACTTTGCCAAGCATTGGCAGCCAATATTGGTTTACTATTGCCTGCAAAGGCCAGTTACAAATTAATAAAAAACTATAAAAATTAACTAAAAAATAAATTTTTTTAAACATTTTGGTCTTTATTGTCGTCAATTAATAAGATACGACAA